GGTACGATTTTTCAAACGTAATACCCACATCCCGTGGGCAAAACCACCTGCTTAAACAGAACTGTCTGTACTTTGGAATTCAAGGTTAAAATTATTGGTATAGGAAAAGGCTACTCCCTTTTCACCCAAATCCTGGCTACGCCCATCGGCATTTCCACCTTGGGTATTGGAACACGATTATAATGTCTGAGCCTTGGTTCCACAAGTTCTTACAGGTGTTCAACGTAGACAGACGGGTGCGTCCGTTACTTAACACCATAATAAGCCCGTACGTCAAATCGGGACTCACTTTCATTGAGCTCTTGCAGAAGACAGCCTTAATCGCTTAGCACAATTTACCAATTTTCTTATCAATTGGTTGCCAGCCTTGTAATATATATTATTTGCGATATTGGTGGTTTTGGGTTCGTAAGAAACCTTCTGAGCTCAATTTTCTGTTAAAGTCATATTTTAGGATCATTTGTATTTATCTCCAAAGTAACCTAGCGAATTATTATCCAAACAGCTTACTTGGATCAAAGATCGTACTGATGGTGCTAAACACCCCGTGACATTATGCCGTCTGGCTTGCTGTCATTTAGAAGAAATCAAGAAATGTAGGTGATTTAGCCTATATGAGGTATGACAGACACAGAGGGAGCGTTGTTTGATTGGGTAAAGACTTTGTAAATAGCGCCCTCCTATTATTTCGGCCAGATCTAAAATTGCTCTGTTTTTCAGTGGAGCGAAGGCGTCCATTTTCAAACTGGTGATGGGTTACAGGACTGCTTTTAGGGGTTGATCGTCTTTGGATGGAATTTTCTTCCAAATGTCATTGGTAAACGTACCTCCCAAAAAAATGAACGGAACTATTGAGCTATGGCAGTCTATTTACTGGTCTGTAACCTTAAACGCCGTGCGTGGTCCCAGACCCTGACCACTGCTGTTGTCTGCTGCCCTCTGTTGACCATTGTTGCTAAGCGTTATCAAGCACCCCCATATTAATAACGCAGTGTCCTTAACCCTAAAGGGGCCGGGCGGAATCCGCCCCCCCCCCCTCAACTTTTTCCGCGATAGCTTTAAAAAAAAAAATTCGCGACCCGAGCCTCGAGCCTTGCGCATCTTTTGATACCAAAAACATAAAAATCGGACAACGGATTGCCGCGCAGCGAAAAATTTCCGGCATGATAAGTTGTTCTATGCATGTACCTAGTTTCAAAATGATTCGTCACTCGATGGCCGAGATATTGCCCCCCCCCCCCCCCCCCGGCTGAGAGATGATCAAAATAGCCCGGCCCTTTTAAAGGGTTAAAGAAGAAAAAATACTGTGACGTACTCTAAAATACCGCTTTTGTCATGCATGCGGTTGATATAGTAGCAAGGTCAGGTAAATAAATTATATAGTATGAAACAGGAGACTTTCTCAATACTCAAGTACCCCTTCCCCAAATTTCCACATTGCGGAAAGTTTCCGTATTCTTCCATATTCAAGCCAACTCGTCATCAGAAGTGTATTTGCCCCTTGCAGACGTGGCAGTGGAAGTTTGGTGGCAGTAACGAGTCACCCACTCGTATTGGGCGCTATTACTTTATCTTGCACGCTTGCCCGTTCATTGTCACTGTCTAACAAACAAAGGGTGTTGCTGCGTACCAACTTGAACTTTGATTCATTGATGAGTGGGCTTTTGAAGATGATAAGATACGATTTCAATAATTAGGGAAAGCATTTGCCTTGAAGCTTTGTCGATCGTGTTGACAGACTGCCTGACGCATTTCGGCCGTTGCGTGCCCACCATCCACGGGGGTGGGGGCGGTTTGTACAAGCGTCAGCCCACCCTCACGTCCATCAATTGGAGGCATCAATAGTTCAGTTCTAGATATTGTGTTTGAACGAAATGTCCTATATGATGTAAACATTGCTATCTAAGCTCATCCATTTACGATCGGCTCTATAAAGATAATTTTTTCTGATGAAAACATTAATTGTCTTTAATTTGTACTAAAAGAAAGCTTTGTTAATTTATATTGGGCTTTCAGATCCTAGATCTGGAAAAAGCGCTACATGCAAAACTTCTTTGCAAAATAGGGGGCGCCATTTTGGTTTCCTTATGTTTTTACTCACTGTGTTCTCTGTTTTTGTTTTGTTTCTTGTTTTGGGGTGTTTCTTTTTTTTTTGGTTTTTCTTTTCCATGCAGACATACAGCAGTTGGTCCAAAGTGTTTTTACTTTATTCTAATCTTTAGACAGACAAAATATACAGTGAATAAGAATCTCAGATAAGATTTGAAGGTTTGCATTGTAAAAGTATGACAGTAATCTCTTTTGTGAGTTGGTGCATGCAAGTGGTTTGAAGTGAGAATGGTCATTTAAAAAATTGTCACTGGGTCGAAAGCTTTCGTTGTCGGTGTCTGTTTTCCGTAAAGCAATTAGATTCTCACTCATGTCCTTCAAGATCTAGAAACATGGGCGTAAATCCCGGGGGTGGGGAGGATATATCCCCGACGTTTTTGACCGGGGGGATGGGCCATTGGATCATCCACCTCCCCCATTTTTTGTGGTGAGAAACTAAAAACTATTTTGCCATTTTGAGGTCATCTTGCAACTTTCAAATGGTCGAAATTTATGAAATAGTTTTGAAAACGGGAATAAACAGTAGAAAAGCTTTCAGTGCACTTTCAATGTCCACTTCCTCCCCCCCCCCCCTTCGGCTTTTCAGATTTCCACTGCCCTCCCCTCCCCCCCCCCCTTTCGCCGACATGGATTTACGTCACTGCCTGGAAAAAAAACTAGTATTCTGACGAGCGTGCATCCTCGTGGGAACTAACTTTGCCGAAAGGTGGCTCAGAAAATGAGCAACATGATTAAAAATTGCGCACAAAAAAGGGACGAACTCTATGTTGTTTTGATTTTACATGTATGTTATTATTGCTTAATGTACTATTTATTTTTAATGTTGTGGGAATGAACCTGACCTACTTTTCCCAGTATATCCCAGTAATTCGCCGCCGGTGACAACGGACACGCTTACACAAAGAGATTTAGAGAAAATAAAATGGACAAAAGACGCGTGAATTTTCCCAACTTCGCTGTTCGACTAAAAAAGACAAATTGAACATTTAATTGTCCCGTGAAAACTGAAGCCTATACCTCTGTTATTCGTTGGCAACGCGCGGTCGCTGAAATACACACACAAACAAAAAAAATACCAGCATAACCTACAAGCCTTGGCTAGAAAAAAAAACATGAATAATAGCAGTAAAAACAAAAGCATCACACCCGCCGATATCGCACACATCCAGCGCAAAAATAACGGCTGAAAAGTTGCTCCTACCAGTACCTTTTCGGAGTTTCTCGTATTATGCGGGCATGGGGTTTTTGAAGCGTGTCCGTAGTCGTCAAACATGCTTTGAATTGGCTTGCCGCTTTTCAATGCTTTTGTAAGGATAGTTACAATCTCCAGCCCGCTTCGTGTGTGAAACAATCGGGATTTGCATAATGTCATAATCGACGATGACAATATGGCCTCCGTAAATCCGATGGCAATACGTGAGAAAAAAAAACCCAGATTTCATCCTGAACCTTTCAAATTCACACGTTTATTAATTTTTGGTTGGTTTACGATCTAAGTTTATGGTTCCATAATATCCCAGTCTTTAAGTAATAGCCGAGCTGCATAGAGTGTAAAGAGGCAAATTTGGAAATAATGTTAGGTGGCGTGACTAAAGCATTTACTGAAGACTTTTTTGTGAGAGTTCGCCAGCTATTAGATTTTAATATATTTCTTTTCATCGGATTTTATCAGCATGTCATCAACTTCTGTAAGTCTACCCCTTTGTGTTTGAGTGCAGACACATCAATAGTGTTTTTTTTCTTCAATTCTTGAACGGAATTGTTTTGTCCGTAAGCGTTTTCATTATTGTACCATAGCTGTCCTTATTTTGAAGTGCAAGTGTCTTCGTGCTTTTTTGTTGTTTCTTATTGATAATTATTATTTTTGTATTTTATTTTTTTTAATATTTGATCTATTTTTTTTAAATGAGATTTCTTTATTTTCATTTCGTTTTCAAGGACTTTCATGGGTATTTTCAAATGCTTTTCAATTTGTGCTTAATTTATCCATGGTGTTGGGCAGCAAAACACTCTTACTCTTACATCCTTTTAGTTCGAACTGTTGGGGGAGGGGGATGCGGGGCTGCTTTAACTTTCTAACAAACCTCCTAAGGGGCTTCTCATTTCTGGGACTACACCGTATTTCACCAATTTCCCCACAGAGATGACACTTCCAAACAAAACTTTCAATTTTACTGTTACAGGATAATCTACCAGTTTCTGTTAGCCTATAGACGTTGATCATGCAGCCACCATTTCAGTCATGTTCCCTGTATCCAATAGCAGTACTGAATGATAATGTTTTGTGTGCAAAAGGAACAACACTATTTTTCCTTCCAGCCTCGTTTTGGTTACCTTGATTTGAATGGGGAAAAATCAAGATGGCCGCAACATGATAATGGTCTATTGGGGCTTATAGTTTCTCATTTCGTATCCCTTGCACTTGCGTTTCTATAGGGACTACTTTTTTAAACCAATTTACCCAGTTGACATATCCTCTGGAGTTCTATAAATGCTACGGAGTCCCCTAACTTCATGCAATAAAGAGTATGGTCATCAAAACGGTACACGCTTTTACAATATGACTCGTGTGAAATTCCTATAACATTAAATGTCAGTGCTCTTAAAAATTAACGTTTAATGGTTCTAAATTGAATGTATATGAAAAGGAGTGTATCATCTCACACGTCTTATAAAAATATTATCTTAAAGCCATTTATTAAGGACAAGGTATCACCAAATTATGGTCCATGTTTTGACGCGTGTTTGACCCGCGAACCGGTTTTGAATAATAAATTTTAATAATAGTCTAATCTAATTATGTCAGTTGTTGGAACCTTCGAAGGCATGATGACAATGTGGCGTTTGTGACGGCCACCAAAAAAATAAAATCACAAGGAACAGTCAATGAAATGTGTTCACAATACTCGTCATTTATTACAATTGAAGGCACTGGTATAATACATACGACGATGGATGGGCTTTTTCCAGCAAATAAAACTTAAAAGCAAATTTAATTTTTATATACATGAGTTCCCGATGGACTTCTCTGCATCACCTATCAGGACCACACAAAGACCTTTTTTTGAAGCCCGTTCTCTACCGTAGTACTCTACCGTTCCCGACATCATGATAGAGTTCGATAAACTTCTTTGGGGAAAAAATGGCTTCTCTCGACATAGGCTTAACATAGTTTGGACTCTCAACATGCTGAAAATATTGTACTGCCTCTCTTTGATAATGATATTGCACTATAAAAATTTAAACTGGCCTCACTATAAAATAAAGTTAGGATACCACGTGATTTGAAACTTTGAGAAACACTGAGAGACAATTCAAACGGGTGGTCACAACTTTTTCCTCACGTCGACAATACTTAGTTAAATTGTGAGTCAACCGCACCCACCCGCACTAAATAACGGATTGAACCAAACAAAACAAAACAAAAACTAGTAGTAATAAATAATTGGTCTAATTCTTCATTCAAATACGTCATTGATAAATACTTAGCAAAGGCACTAACAAAGGAAACGTACGTAACTTGAAAATGCGGGCACAGAATACAGGTGCCCCGTTTTTCCCCCTTTTTTTTGAGGCGCCCCTCCAATGAAAATGTACCTTTGGGCGGGGCTAAGTGGTGACTCATGAAGTTGCAGGAGCTGGGGGTGGAGTAATCTACCCCATCTTGTAAATTTCACTTTTTTTTTCTCAAAATGACTCAGCCCCTTTTTACTGAGTCAAAACCGTTTTAGAAACCGTTCAATTATTCAGCTCCGGTATTTTTTACCGAAATAAATTCATATTAATTCCGCATACCGTACTTGTGAGTGAAACGGGTTACAGCCTTTGTTAACAATAAACATTGCGAATAAATATCAGACGTTTGGAAATTGCAAATGTTTAATAATGCACAGCGCAGAAATAAATATAATTAAAAAGAAATACCGTATAATTGTGTGCAAGGAAGAAATAAATATAATTGTACAAACTTGGTTGAAATTATTTGAACTTTGTTCAGCGAATCCAAAAATGCCTTAGTTGTTTCTGCCTATATTCATATTTATCCTATTTATAACGGTGCGATTCACTCGTTCATCAAGGCTTGAAGCCGCATAATGAAGAAGAAAAGCAGCTCTTGAAGTTACCAGAGCAATGGACGCCTCTGCTTGAAAAATGACCTCTGCCGGTTATCTTTTTATGTTGTTGAGTATCTCTCTTTATGTTTAATCCATTCAACCTGTACAAAATTATGCCCGCATATTTCGTTTACGATCCACTCGACGCGACTCGTCCACTGTCGCGCCTTAACAAAGAATATACAATGCGTTGGGACACTTTCTAAAGTCGCTACAGAGAGCATTCATATGCAAATGAGGCATTCTGTGATAGAAAAAAGAGACACTACACAAATACAAATAATAATTTAGTCTGAAAAAAAAAACATGTCATCAGCTAGCTTAGAATATACGCAAGGCGCACGATTGGTGTTTCTGTACACTTTGACGAAATAAATATTTTAAAGTAATAAATATTCTACCATAAATTTCATTGTTAAACCATTTTTTTTTGTTCTATTTACACGTGTAGCTGCACTGTATCTGTGTAACTGGTGGAATAATTTAAATAGTAATTTCGTTACAATAAGCAACTTCTTATTTTATCTCAGCTGATTTGTTTCAATTCATATAAGTTAACACAATAATTTAACAAAAACAATTAAAATACATTTAATAATTAAAAGTTAGGAACAAATATTTACATAGTGCACGAAAAGCTGTTTTTAAACATTATTAAACCAAATCCATTGACTGAAGTCGATTGACTAAATTTTGTGGAGTTTTTAATTCAAACATTACTGTCAAACCTCCCGGGGACCTCTAGTAAATATGTCTGTTCAACGAGACAGTGTTGGCGGGTGGGTTTCGCATGAACAAAACCCGACTCGGGTCCGGGGAGGTGAAGTCGAATTGTCCGGCTATGTTGAGTGGACTGATCAGGCTAGTCTGTGAGCTGGTGGACGGGGTCCGATAGTGCTGACTGCGACGGTCCATGTCGTACCAACTAAAGTCAAACTGGGACGAGGTAGGGGACTTGAGGTGCGGGGTGAACTGCAAGCCCTGCTCGGCTCGGAAGGCCAGGCTCTTCTGACTGTTTCGCTCGGTGTAGACGTGGAGCTCGTTCTTGAGGGTGGATATGGGCTTCTCGCTGTCCTTGAGGTACATGGAGACTAGGAAGTCGATGTATGTGCCGTTCTCGTCTTCGGTGGGGTTTGAGGGAGTCTGGTGGGAGTGGGTACTGAGCTGGGTTAGGACGGGACCGCTGGGGGAATGATGGATGAGCTGGCGGTACTTGAAACCTGAAGGGCTGGCAAGGGTGGACTCGGGGTCGTTATAGTCGTGGCTGGTGGCCGGGGAGCTTGCCACGCTAACTGAGAGAGGAGTTTGAGACCTCGGTGGTGCCTCACCCTGAGAGCTGGACGGGGACATGGCGGCTGCCTCGCCACCCATAGCTGCACCTGTTGGCTTCTGGGGGCTCTCATAGACTGGGGGCGACGGAGCGTGAAACACGGGGGTTTTGGGCCGGCCTGCCAGCCCCTCTTCCCCCAGGGATGCGCTGATGTCGAAGATGTCGGAAAAGGACGACATGTCGATGTTGATGGGCGTCGTCTGGTCGGCAAGTTTGATGGTGGTGTGGGACTGCAGGCTACTCGCGTGGTCCATCTTGGGTTGCTTGGCGCCAATGTGGTTGAGTGCTGGAGGCAGACTGCGTTTGAGAGGATTGTGGCCAGAGGTAGAAGGGGACATTAGGGAGTTGCTAGCCTGGCTGATGGCAGAATAGTTGGCCGTGGTGAGATCCAGGTTTGCCTCATTGGTGTGTGGCATCAAGGAGTCCGATTTGATCGGGGTGAGCTTGGGTGAGTCCTTCATGACCGTCAGCTCTGTCATTCGACCCCCGTCCTGTACGGGGTCTGCCTTGAGTGGGACAGTGGCGCTGTAGCCCTCCAGATCCACCGACGGGTCGTACATGCCACTCCCGGCGGTGGGCAGTGGGTAGCCCGCGTACATGCTTCCGTGGTGATGGTGGTGGTAGTACTCGGTGGGTAGTTGGGCCGTGTAGCCGGTCAGGTAGGCAGGTTGGTAGTCTCCTTGCAGCCCCTGTTGCTGCGGAAGGTAGCTTCCAGTCCACGGCTCGTACTGAGGCTGATCCGGGTAGCTCGAGCCCACAGAGTGATGCCGCATCCCGCCCGCCGGTATAGTCAAACCTGCAAGATGAACACATAAGGAAATTAATCATAAGATGGAATTTTGCGTCGGGGTGATGTAAGGAAATTGCCATGTTCATAAACGATCCAACGCCAACATCATTTTGTGAAGTTGGGTCGCTACTTTTCCCTCCACATAGATCTGACCTAGGTCGATATGGGAATGATATTTTTCAATGCTCTGACTGCCTCGGTGGATTTTGCCTAGAATATCACTCTTCACGTCTTGAACTGATCACTTCCTTATCGTCTTCTCTCTTCGTTTCTCAAAGACTCCGAGCTTGCATTATTGCCAGTGCCTTTGAGAACAATTTAAATTTCAATACGAGAATCCAAAATCCAACACTGCTGCCAAAACTGAGCATATCTTTATCATCCCAACTCTCTAGGATTCGTCAGGCTTCAAATTTCCCGAGGTCCAATGGGGAACCCTTGATGTCATTGCCACATTATTATGGTAGCATTTTCATTACTCAAAAAACTCCTTGTTCAGTTTGGGGCTGGTCCAACAAAAAAGAGAAGTTTATCTTACCTGGCCTGGCCTGCTGATGCTCTTCGCTGGTGACCATCTTCTGGTGATGTGAGGCCCACATCCTGGTCAGTGGGCTGCGCAGGGAGTAACCATGGTGACTGGGCTGTTCCTTGTCCTCCTTCTCGTCTGTTCCTTTGTCGCTTTTGGACAGGACGGTCTGGACTTCCCTCAGTTGCCTGGCAACGCGGTCCACCCGGCTGAAGGACTTGTGGATGTGAACTCCCTGTCAAAACAAAGTTTTTTTGTTTAATATATTTTCTGCCTAAGGTTAAACCGAAGCTGTTTTGTAACAAAACAAAAAACCTGGCAGACGCAGAAAATTGCAAAAAGTGAACATCGTCTTCTTCGTTCATTGAGGCTTCGGAGCTGCAGTTCCCGTTAAATGTTCATTTTCATCACTATAATAGGAATTATTTTTTAAAAAATCAACATAACTTTAATCTGCAAGTTGCATAATCTTCAAACAGTTCCATATAATCTCCAAACAATTCCTTATAAACATGTAAGCAATATATCAATTTTCAGAACACCAACGCACCATCCGTTTACAGATGTCCTTCGGCCGTTCGTGCTTGTGTGTCCTGTGGTACTCGAATAGCGCCATCTTGGCGACAGAGGGCGTCTTGACGACGTCTGGGCGGGGATGATCGTGGCGCCCTTTGGACTGGAAAATAATGACAGAATCTGCGCAGACAACGGAAAAGTACAAATAAAACTTGGAGTTTAATGACGGCCAAACTGATGGCTTTCTCCATTATTCAAAGACGTGGTGTAGGCCCAAGTTAAAAACCAGACTTTCCAATTCCTCGAATCAACTTTTAAAACAACGTATCTACCTTGTCATCGAGAAAGTGGCAAATTTGGCATCACAAGTCATTACAACGGTCTACTGAAAATCAATCGAAAGTCAGTCACAAATTAAGTCACCCAGTGTCAACTTATGTGACAAACTATCTAAATGATCTGTCCAAAGGCTGGGCATTCCTTTGTCACTCAACTTGAGCCCTATGACCTGTGGCCTGACTTGTGACCGACCAGTGACTGACTTGTGATGAACTCGATTAAAGATCTGCCGATAACACAACCATTAGCAACTTGTGCGAGTTCTAAAAATAAAATTTTAAACCCATTTGGATGGGGTATATACAGTTGAACGATTAAAATCTGAATAAAAAAAAAAATACTAGAGCGTGCACGGCTGATAATTTTGTGCAAATAATTTCGGTAAATACGACTAGAAACATCTGCTCTTTATCCGTGGTTCGTTAACTGATCTTATCACCCTGTACAACTGTGAACTGTATCGGGCCTTAGACATTAACTTCATGAAGTATCAGCTTTAACCAGGTCGCAACGGTGAAAGTTGAGATCACTAGGCACGGCAGGCGCAGAATTGAGGGCACGGGGTTCCCCAGCCGTCCAGACAAACTAACAACTCACCTGTCACGCGCCAGAAGTGGGTGACCGGGTAGCCGTTCTTGCCGGCGCAGGCTACGTGGTACAGCTTGCCCTCGCAGCCAGGCCGGGGGCATTTCTTGTCCGCCTGCTTGCGGCGCGCGCGGTCGGAGGTGGCCGGCCGGATGGTGATGACATCGCCGTTGGGGCTCCGGCAGGACCTGTTGCACACGTACACGCCTGTGTGCCAATCAAAAAAAAGAAATTCTTGGTTATTTTGCGGCTGTGTTTTTTGTGTTTTTTTTGTCTGTATTCATCCCTCCGATATCTTGCAGTTCTTTTGAGGATTCAATCAAATTGTACACGGTGTCATTCATTTTCTTCAATTAAAACCATTACACACGGTTCATTTAATGTATGTATTTTAATCTGAAGCATCCTATATCCTCCAAAATCCAACTTCTTGTTGTTGTTTTTTTAGAGGATTCGGAGCTGCAGGTAAACAGCCACGCCATGTACTGCTCGGTCGGTATCACATTCCCCTTAGCCTAATACAACAAAGAATGTGTTTACTTTACAACTCAGAATGGTCTTAAAATAAAGTTTTAGAGTTCAGGTCCTGGGGTGAAGAGGCCCTCTAGTTTGCTAGAAACCATCTGTTATAATATTAAACAAGCCTGTAGCAACGTGTGTACAGGACACAGTCTAGTTGTGCATACAGTCATGTAGTCGTGTGTGATCGTTCGAACGTGCCCTGATGTTTTGCCTTCGGGTTCACCTAACACGCGTTCCGCGCCAGACTGTTTCATGTTTCATGTCTTCAACCATGTGCATGTCGAGACACCCTCCAATCAATGTGTGTCAAAAAAAGAAGAAACAACAAAAGACTGTGCAACTATTCAAACTTTTGACCCAGTCTGGCATTGATCGCGTTTGCAGTGACGTCATGGTTCCTGTGTTTGCGTATTTGGTTATCATGAGGGGGTGTCGCTGGATCGAATAGCGGTCGCACGCCAGCCACACGCAGCACACACGTAGCGCACGAGACCACACGTGCCGTAATATTGCCGTGTTTAAGTTGTTCCTCTTTCGTGCCCATATTCAGGAATTCCGTCCCAGACGTGCTCAGTCGGGATTTTTTGTTGTTCAATTGGAACATGATATAACATTTGCAAAAGTGTTATTGTAGCATTAGTTGAAGTTGCTTTTGTTTTTATTTTATATTAGTATTTGGTGACATGATGTGTAGATAAAAATATACTTTCTCTTTTCTCTCTTGTACAATTTGTTTTGGGTTTTTTTTTATATCGTTTTAATTGTTTGAATATGGAAGTCGCTGTTACTTCATTGACATAACTTTCCGGGCCATGATACAGCCTCCTTTTCCAAATTACTTTTTGGGATTAACTGCAAAGAAACCAGCTTTCAGATCGTGTTATTTGCTGAGGAGATGCGCAGTGCTAGTGAGTGGAGATGTCTGTGGGTTATAAAGGCTGTCATTACTATTCAAGTTTTGGGTGCCGTTTTGGTCAAGAGTGGTGTGAGCCGACGGGCGAGCGTGTTACGCAACAGGGCGCTTGGTCGGTGGAGAGACTGCAGGTGCACCGCGCGGGGATATACACACCGCCGTAACGCGAAGGTCCCAAGCTTGGCATTGTCACGGCTGTTATTGCATGGGCATTATAAGTCCGCTAGCCAGCTTCTATTGGTTGCCCAGCCCCATCGCCCCACACTATGAGCCCAGGCAGGCAAGATGCATCCCGCGCGCATGCGACACACAAACACACACAAAACCCTCCATCTTCCTCACTCAATCGAAAATTGCTGCAATTATCACGAGAAATCAAATGTTATTAAAAGACGCCCGGTGCCTATTGTTATGGGACCCCGGCTACACCGAAGACACAATTAACGCGGGCTTTTATTGTGACTTCTGCCCGGGCTAGGGGTGAAAAAAGGGGGCTTGAATTGGCTGCATAATGACAGAATTGAAACCAGGTGGTGGAGTCGAGAAAAGGGTTTGGCTAAGTTAATTATATGGAATCAGTCAACTTTTGATAGCGCACGATTAACAGCAGGGGTGTATTATGCTGACGCTAACCGCACCAACTTGAAACAGGACAAAAAAAATGAGATGCGTGATTTAGGGATTGGAAAGATAAACTCGATGTCTTTAATAACTGCCAGTAGAAAAGCAAAACAAAACAGATATTTCCTTTCCTAAACGTTTGTTTAATCCCAGGCTCAGAAACACGCGACTTTTATTCAGTAGTTTTATCACCTCGATATTTGAGGGAGCTGACGATTTGGTAACAGTTCCATCTATAAAACCCACTTGTTAGTTGGATTAAGTTTGCATGCATGGCGTGAGTTTTACAGGGGTGAATTTTAATAGCAATTTAGCCTATACTGTATATTGCCGCTCGGTATACTATAGTTGGCCAGGCACGCGCCAGCATTATGTTAGTGTTCTCATATCCACCCAAAAATGGAAGTAGTTTCTATGGTTGATTGAACCTCCAAGAACCCCCTCCCCTTCAGTTCAACTAAGGGTCACACACTGCAGTCTTGGTGACGCGTTCTGGCTGAAAGCAGGAACATTGCTCCAGGCAATCCATGTAGTTTTTTTTTTGAATGAAATAATTGTAATATTCGAGGAGTACTTCTTTGTTTCTTTCATTCAGCTGCTCGGCTAGCTCAGTGTCGGCTCGACCATAATGAGGCAGCTTCGATTCGTATACGCTAACACTGTTCACGGTCCAGCAACTCTGGAAAGGGGGGGGGGGTGGTGAAAGTACAGGGCGCACCAGCATATAGGACCCCAGAAACAATCGAACTTTCATCGACGGAAGGCTTAACAGACATGTGTCCCTAAACAACTACAGATGTACATGCATTTGCATTTGAATTGTGTTTAGTATACACACTGCGGTTTTTAAGTTGAGTTACACTTGCATTTGAATTTGAATCGGTCTAGTTTGGGACGCGATTCATAATTTGAATTGTATCCAGGCAGGTTTGATTTGTGGGACGCTGGCATGGCACACTTTTGTTGACACAAGCAAGCCTTATACGTCAGCAGTCACCAGCTGTGTGATACTGATAGTGGTGTATGTATCTCTATCATTCTTACACTCATTCGGATGCAGTTGTGCGGTGCGTTTATTAACGAAACTTTGAGCTATAAACCCATCACTGCAATGTGATAAGTTATAATGTTCCTGGCCCGGGGAAGTTGAACTTTTCTAGTTGGCGAAACTTGCACACGCGATCCAAATGATTTCGTTTACGACTTGGAACTCACTTAGCGAAAGTAGATAACAAGACAAGTTCTTTTTTAGAACTAAGCAGGACTGTTCTTATCACAACTAAATCTACTAAGCGACAGTTGTTATATACCACACGGTGTCACGATGTTACAGCAAACCAAAACTATAATTATATCGATACTCCACCATGCAAAGCCTGAAATCTTATATTAGAACTCACATAGTCACGAAAGTCACATTCAAATCCTCACCGCATGAACTCGTCTGCGGAAGTTAATGAATCCGACAAGTGCTTTTTCCCAGACGTTTAATTATCTTTTTAGATCGACTTAATTACAACAAAAATTAAACATAGAAATGCACACAAATGCAAAAATTATAATAATTTCTATGCTGGATACTGTAATTAATCGTTTTAAAACTTTAATTTCAAAACAAATAAATGGCTAGTTTATTTTTATGTATTGAAGTGCCCCGTGATACCAATCTGAAACCTGTTGCATCTTGACGCCATGGTGTGGCTCATAAACGTCGATAGCTTTGGGTAGACGGGTGTAATCCGGATATGTAACAGCTTAGCGTGGCTTCCTTTGCCATTGACTGCCAGGCAATCGCATATCCACTCTGTTATAAGGGTCGCTCCATCGCCCAGTAGCCCCCGTGCGCTCGCGTTGATTCACGCTGATGACAATAGAATAGAACCTTATAAGCGGATTGGAATCAAGCAAGGCTGTCGAGCGTGCTGGGGGGAAAAAGCTATTGTACACGCTGTCCAAATACAGCGGGATAATACTGCGCGAGAATTCGTTCATTAAACGCGCATTCATTCGCGATCAGGTTTGATTGAATTAAAAACTCGGCTGGGATTGAAGCGAATCGATACGGCCGTTATTTCGCTCTATTGTGGCGCGTCAACAGGCATTGCCGGCGATTTTTCCGGACAGATTAATATTCGATCTCCAAGTAATTTCAGAATAACAAATCTTACACATGTCTGGTCTTGCCATGGCGTTCACATTTTTTTTAATGTCATTTAACAATTTTGCAAAATGTAGAAATGGTTTCGTGTGATCATGGCGAAGTCATCTTCTGATATACCTGAGCAAAATGTACACACAAAAAATGACGAAGATTTTGGTAGAACAAGGAAACGACGAAAGAAGTTGTTGGTTTGTTTTTTTCGTTTGAGCTGGTCATTTGTAGAGCTAAATAATAAATGAATTCCATGTCACCGATATGGAGCAATATTCTAAAGAACACAAGTATTATATTTCGAACGGGCAATGCTTCGTTAATGTATTAGTTACGGAAAGTGGTTTTGACAATGAATAACGAACGAACGAAATTTAAAAACAAATGTGAAAAAGAAAATAGGTCAAAACACTTTTTTTATACTAACTACAAGTATAGAGAAGAGATCCTCCAACAGGTTCTCTTCAGAACCACACATACTGTACTCACAAAAGAGATATTTCCACATGGTGTTACCGCAAACATCTCACTTACGTCATATTAGTAAAAAAAAAAATGCTTCGGTATAACCGATGATTTATTTTCTATTTGTCAAAAGGCTTTGCTTGGTGATTGTCAAATTTGCTTTTTGGAGCGATTAGCCTAACGGGATTATGTGAAGCAGGGCACGGCCAGACCAGACATCACCGGCCGCCTAGGCCCGGGGAACGGAGGGAGTTACAGCGGCACTTGTTTGCAAGCACCAACCAGACAACCTTGGATACTCGATGATTGTTGGGGGGCTTTTTTGCCACGCGCCTCCCTTCGCCCTTTCTGTGTGCACCTCTCTAACCGAGCCACCCCCTCTTTCATTATCATAACACAGACCTGGTACAATTTTCGTCTCCACAAAAGAGGATGCAACTGGCACAATTAAATGTCAGGAATCGTTTAGACTGTAATGATCCCCCGACGTTTTAAAAGCCATTTTCCGGAGGGTATAATTAACGAACTTGCCGTGAAGTTACCGCTGACCACGCGCAAAGAGCAGAATTTGCATAATTTCGAAGAAAATGAATGAACGGCGTCGCGTGGATAGCATTAAAAAGCCTATATTTATTAAAAGACCAGATGATCTAGATATCGAGCTACTCCATATTGTACCTAAGTTGGCTGCAGAGTTGCAACCACCTTCAGTTCCTAGATAATTAGTATCAAACTAGTTCGAGATTAAGATCACAAGCTTGCGTTAAGTCGAAACTACTGTCACGGGGCGATCTTGAGGAACTATCACGAGACCAGGCGCCCGTCAGCACGCGCCGCGACACCTTCATCAACAAGTCGCGGCCGGCGGTGGGGCACGCACAAGTCAACGCTTTAGGCGACGACACTGCGGCACGGGCCGCGAACAATAGCGAGCGTGCGGCGGTCAATGGGCCTACATGTGTGCTTACACAGTGGGTTCCAGGGTCGCTCGCGCGGGGGGAGCGCGGGACACGATTGACCGCGAAACACTCACGAGGCAAAGTGACATTTTTACAACCATCGTAACTGTTGTTGTTGTTGCTGTTTGTTTTTAAATACGCCAACTTATCCTAGACAATCACTCAACGACCAAAAAAGCTTGGACGACGAGGGTTATTGACATCAAGTTTTAGAGTAGGTCGAAGCCAAGTGCCGAGTTTCGCTGTGGCAAATTGGAGCCCGCCCTCACATTATGGGCATTTTTTTTTTTTTTTTGGCTGACTGGTTTGAAGGTCATGCAACAGATACCGGGGCATTAAAATTAAGCACTTTTGAGGCGATACCCGATGAAGGAGAGCCAATTACTTTCCAGATGGATTCTGATAAATATAATTGATTTTCACGAAGTATATAAGTAACACACGAGATAATTATCCGAAACAGGCAGTGCTGTTTGAAATACATTTTGGAAAACTCACAACTCTACAGTAATTAATTATCATTATCGATAGTGAAATGCAACCATGAACACCACGGCCGACTTTTGGCAATGCACCGACCTTACATTTATGTCATTAGTTTACATTCATTATGTTTTTCTAAACACATAGGCCTATCACAATTATGTGCAATGATAGCTCAGAATTTACACCGCATACACCATGTCTGTTGCCCCGACCGTCGTACCTGAGACCTACTATACTTTAGCTTGACTGCAACGCTATTGAGACTGTATAGGCCTACTCCAGATTGGTTAGACATGTCTACAGTTACATTTTTAAAAACAAATAAATCTGAGGTCGACGTGATTATTTTTTAAAGATTTGAGAAAACGAATTGGGACTCACCGAGGCATGATTTCTTGAGCACCTTCTTGTTGTGGTTGTTGGTGTTTCTCATGGCCCATCCGCTGAGGTGCTTACGAGCGTCCGAGTCCTTTGGGTGATACCGCAGCGACGCGTCTCCGTCCACCCACTCCACAAAATCATCAAACTACGCACAAAAAATACAATCCAAAGTCAGACTTAATTTTCAAATTAACACACACAAAAAGCAGGTGCTCCTTTCGCATTAGCAGCTTTTTTCCCCAACGTTGAGGGGGACTTAGTAATTAGCGAGGAAATGGTAGTCAGAGACGACGGTTTTTACTTCTTTTTTTCAAAAAATTACTCAACCATTCATTGTTTCACATAGGTTTCGTTCAAAGAATCTGACTATAAACTTTTTCAATTTTGAATTAAACACTTAAAACCTTGTGCACAAAATAATTGCAGTTGATATGCAGAATGCACTCAAAGATCAAACATCTTAAAAATGCTGGTCTCAACCCAACTTTTCTATCCTTATTAAAAAAATTAAATTGCATTCTCATCTTAATTATCAAAAAAAAATGGAAAATGCATCTTCATCTTAAAAATAATTGCAGGTCTGAACGCACCTTTTCTATCCTCATCTTCTTCTGTTTCTTGAGTTCCTCTCGTTCCTGCGCCTTGGCACTCCTGCTTCCGCTCCGCCTGCTCGACCAGCGAGACACCGTGGGCTGCACCGGGGCTCTCTGCTGCTCAACCTCGTGGAAACCCTGCCCAATCTCCGCTGAGGAAGACGTCGTAGGGGCCAGATCAGTTTTCTTCTCGGTCAAGGGTCGTGCCTCCGCATCAGCGTTCGCAATGCTCGTCTCTTGGGCTGCAAACCCTCCACTACCGGCCACTTGCTGATCCATGCCTCTTTATCTATCCCTGGACTAAAATCAACAACCACACAAAAAGTCTCGATGGTAACATAACAACGGTTTACTTTTTTCTATTCTACGGAGCCTGTTGCCTACCATTGGCTGGCCGGTTCGGGCCGGGTGGGTGAGTGACTCGCGACAGGCACGCGAGCAGGACAATAGGTAAAGGGACTACGCCCCAGTTGTTGACACCTAATTAGACTGAAGTCAATTCAACAAATCAGGGACGGCGTTGTGTTTTCCGTCCACGCGTTGGGGGATATTGTTACGATTCTCTCCCTCTCCCCCCCCCCCCCCCCCCCCCTGGAAATTAATTCTCTCGGACTTGTTTGCAGCTCGGTGACCGCAATTTGCATTTTTCATGTTCGCCATGAAATCAAAATGATCAAATCATATGTTATATTCGCAAGAAAGCTGCTGGTTTTTTTTTTTCTGCGAACAAAAATCGGCAGTTGGCTGATATGATATGAGTTAATTTCATGGCACATAAATATTCATAATTATTGCAATATGCTTAAATGATTCCGAGCATGGCATCAATGTTTTACACAGTGCTTCTTGTGTTTCATAACAGCCACGATTCTTTTAAAGTGTTCATCTTGAACGGCTCATTTTGGTATTATTTCCTTCTGTAATATAATTTTAATATTTTGAATGAAGTTAACAATTTGTCAATACACCGAAAAAAAGTCAATAATACATTTCATTGTTCCATGGACGTTTTCATAAAACAAGCATCATGAAACCATAAAGCAAAAAGGCAGTGAGATAGACATGTTAATAAAAGACAAAAGACCAAAAAAATGACAAATTATTTCAAATTTCTAAGAGACTAAATAATAAACTTGACCAGTTTGCCTAGAGAACGATGTTACCGGTTCTTCTATTCATTGTCAAAGCTGGTCGGTGGCATTGAAATTATAAACCCCCAAAAGCTAATATACCGAATCCCATGTATCGCATTTAAACACATCTAATGCATCACTTCTGTGTTCTGTCCAACAACCGGTTATACGAGAACATTAATCTTTGCTACATCATTCTACAATTTCCTTATCCATTTTCATACTGCCTAAATTTCATTTTAATCGTATATGTGCATGAATGACATTACGAATAAATGAATAAACTTAACAAGACAAACACCAACACAGTTGTGTGTCGCTGCCAAAAAGGTCCGTGGGCCTAGCTGCTAACCGGCTGCAAAATAAAACTCGGACCTTTCATTCAATGCATCGGGTTTCACTTTAAGTTTGAAGTTTGGACCAAAGTTGCCGTATAGGCCTACGCAAAATTAGACTGAGAAACTCTGCGACTTCTTTGGTTCCGTTTCCGATATGCATTTGGACTACTTGAGGTGGGACAACTTTTTGCACCCAATTGAGTGTTTGGTTTTCTGTTTGCGCAGTTCTATTTTCATTTCAAAGTCAGAATACGAGTGTAGTTAAGCGCCGTACAGGCATATCACTTTCATTTTTAGCTGTGGTGCCTTTCGTCAATGATTGGTATACCGGTTAATGACTTACACGCCTCTTCTAATCGTTCAAAGACCACAATTACCTTTCGATTTCGCCACTGTGCCGGACCTATTTTTGTATTCGTCGATTTTCTGTTTCTTTGAATGTAATTATCGTCGAGAAACACGCCCCCACCTGCTGGTTTTTTGTGCCGGAATTGTGTGGAACATGCCTCTGCAAACAATCAAAACAATGATGTTTTCCGAGGAGAAATTTACACTTGCACTTGAGGCTTTGTGGCGACGAAAACAATTTACATAACGGTTGAGCAATTTGGTGATACCGAGTTGTTCTTCGAAAGGCTGATGCAGAATGTCGTACTGACACTATGGATTATGTTATTCAGTTTCAAGTTGATAGTTTCAAGTTTGGTTCACTATGCGAGCAGATTCGGTGATGAACTATGCAAACCAAGACTGCGTTTTGACCTCGAAATTCTGACCATTCGGCGGGCGCCTTGTATATCTTGTCTTCCGTAAACCCGTTGTTGTATTACCAAAACCATGTCAGCCAAATTCACCAATCAACCGCTGGGTCCATATTTCTGATCGAAATGAAGTCACAATTTCTAAAGTCGACTCCGATTTGGGTGGCGAGCTGGGTCGCATAACATTTGCACTACTCAGGTATATCAGACGTTGGATACGGAGACGGCTCCGTCGTTGGACAGCGGGCGATACTCAGACTACCAAACCCCAAGGGTCTTATAATAAACTTTTAGATGAAGTTTGAGTGGGGTCTATCTGTAAAACCAATAGGGTAACGACGACCCCGAGTAAAACAATCCAATAAAATTTAAGGTATAAAAGGTATGTAAAACGTGACATAATTTTGCCTCACGTGGACTGTGTTGTTTTGTTTGAATTAACTAGATAGACCATTATCATGTTGCGGCCATCTTGATTTTTTCCCATTCAAACCAACGTAACCAAAGCGAGGCTAGAAGAAAAATAGTCTGGTTCCTTATTGCACACAAAGATATAAATTATCATTCAGTACTGTCATTGGATACAGGGAATATGACTGAACTGGTGGCAGCATGATAAAGGTCTATTGGGTTCTGTGAGCTGCGCTTTGTTTATACTAACTGCCATTCCGATTGGATTGAAAATGCAACAGAATGACATTAAGGCCTGTCCAGCTGAGTGATTGGCACTGCAAAAATAAATCTGCGATAGACAAGCCTATGTACAGGCAGGTGGTCATCGCAAACAACAATTCCAAATCCGAACTCCCTGCTGCCTTTCTTGTGATTTGAAATCTTGAAGTGCCATTAAAAAACAAGACACTTTCTCGCACCTCTGGCCGTATTGTTCCCTCGCACATCCACCCGCCCCCACAGCGCTCTCCCAAAGGCTTTCAGTTGCTTGACCCCCGGGGTTTTCAGGCCTCCTCAAGTGCAAGCCAAGAGGCTTCAACAGATCCAAAGAGGAACAAAGCTCCGAGCCAGTCCCGGGCAATCTCAAGCACCCCTCTAGCATCTCAAGCGCCCCTCTAGCATCTCAAGCACGGGGCATCGCAGCTAATCGCCCCGTCAAGCCGAGAGTTAAGATTCACCAACCCTCCAAAAAGAAAAGTCAACAACTTTCTGACTTGCTGGAGCGTAGAGACGCGTGCCAGCTTGATAAACCTCTAAAAAGAAAAAGCTGAATGCTTACCCAGGCATTGTGACAGTCCTTAATTGTTATCCAGAGGTTTTGGAGTATAGTCACCAGCTAATAAAAGAGACCACACAATGCCCCCCTTCCTGGACGAGGCTACTGATTGCGCCGGCCATTCAAAATCTGGCGGCGTTAAGCCGATTCGGACATGTATGTTTGGATTTTAAATACAAAACCTTTTAATTTGATTCCCGTACGTTATCCTGCGGTCAGATAGCTGACAGTAGCTCCCCAGACAAAGTCTGCTGCATGCACCTTTTGACTAAAGCAAGTTTCTCTTCTCGTGAAACACCACAGGTGAAAAAAAGGGAATCTTTTTATTCGTCAGGTGAAACAACGCGGTCTTCACTGGAATTCCTGACTGGCTTCGCGTGCCGTCCATTGATGCCGCGGGTCCCGGGGTTTTAGGCACGCGCGAGTCGCCACGCGACCCGATTAAAGGCTTGGTTAAACCTCTTACGTTGTGGTTTCCGAACGGAAATGTAATCTGTGGTTTTTACCTGTTGACTTCGATTCACCCACGAGCCACGGATTAGTGCCGTGCCCGTCCGAGACATGTTATAGCAAGTTAAATTTGTTTCAGTTGTGTGTTTTTTTGCTCTGTTTGTTTAATATTTCATATAACGTAATTTGTCCTTTTCTATCTCACAATTAGCACCTGTGAGTGTGAGTCCCTGCAGTTATGGGCCTTATTTCACGAGTTGGCCAATTTTGTTGAGTTCCCTGAACATAATTATATCACTAATTCTTAACTGTTGAATGGGATGTCGCCAGACTATTTTTTGCAGGCATAAATGCAGCCTTTTTTACTGTCTTTTTTTTAATCTGGCTTTAAACATTATACGTTTAATTACACATTTTAAATTATTCATTTAAGTAGACTGGAATTAAGTAGTGATTACCTTGCTTTCATTTCTCTACACAAGTTGCAAAAATGAAGATTTTATCTCACTCTCAATCCAATATGGCCGATTCGTGAATAAGGCCCATGATATCGTGGATTGGTTATGCCAATCTGGGCCTATCGTTCGTCCATGCTCCCGGAGCTGTCTGTTGTGCTGTCTGGTACACATTATCGGCCGATACTTGGACCGATTTAACGAGCATCCAAACCACCTTTCATGAATTTCCCCAAACAACACATTTTAGGACAACAGTGTTGCCGCAAAAATCCCCAACTCCGTCAAACATGCCTGCATCTTTTGCTAACGCTCTTTTTGTCCTATACATTGACTGGGTTAGCAGACATGGCCCATTATTCTCCGACAGACATTTTGTCTGTACCACCCAGCATCCAAGGCTAGTGCCGACAGAAACTGCGTATACGATGGGGACTCGCGTCGCGTTGTTCCCACCGCGCTTAAAGCGAAAATGCGTCCGTCTGACCGGCTTGTTGCCGGGCGTAACAATCTCACTCGAAACAGCAAAACTGAACGACCCCGATTTCTTTCTTTTTTTTACGTGAGAAAACTTGCTCTATCAAGAAAGAAATATAATGGAGGATCAAGAGGCAACATTCTCTTCAAAACAAGAGCTACGTAGACCATGTCAACTGCGGCGTCGTTTTTGTCGGTTGCCTACAAGATCACAGCCAGCCAACCCGCTTTGTTGGGCTTTTTTCCTCCCTAGTGTACAGCAAACGTCAGTACTTTTGAACCGCCCATATTGGACGTTGTCTAGACGCAGTGCGGAGTAGTTAATTTTGCTGAAAGCCTGCATCATTATTGACCAAAATACCAATTTTGTGAACAAATGTAACATCATGGTCTGTTGATTACTTGTGGAACGGATGTTTGTTTAGTGCGGGACCGAAGACGCAAATGAATATTGGTTT